AAAAAAAAAAAAAAAACTAAGGAAGTTAGAAATTTATTTATTTACTTTTTTCATCTCATTTGATGGGCTAAAAAACTTTTTATTCATTTTTTTTTTCTGGTACCTATTAGAACCGAGGTCCCAATACATACTCCCGAAGATTAGGCCGACAAAAGTTGTGAAAAAGAATCTAACTGCAGTGTAAGACGGGTTGCGCCAGTAGGACCAGTACTGTTTCCATAGGCAGGCAATGCATTGCATGTGAAATGGCTGGCAGTATCGGCTCGGAAAAATTAGCTCTTGCTTTCTGGAGGTTGGCGTACTTAGTTCGCGGATGAGAGCTTTGGTCCTCCTTTAAAAATAATTTCATATTTGTTGTAAAATATAGATCAAACAAATAGAGTGGCGGGATTAGAGTGGCAAAATGACATGTCCGTTTAATATTTGATGAATATGTCCGTCCAATACTGTTTTCACTTAAAAACCGCATCCTTCATAAAAGGCATATTTGTTAAGAAATGCGGATAAAAATAATAGTAACAACAATCAAATTACTTCGAAGAAGTAATATTCTCCAAATATAAGTTTTTTTCTGTTCTGTATTTTTCATTATGTACAACATCTAGGGTAATTTTTATAACTATTCCAAAATCATGTCATGAATTTGTAATTATTGAGCTAAACAGGTAACCTGTATAATCTGGAATTTTTATACACTTGAGCAAAATCGATCCCCAAGGCCATTTCCTGGACATGAGCAGTAACTTCGAGCATCCAAGTTGCTGGATTGTAACCGTCTTTGATTTTATCAACTCCTTGAATTCCCTTTATATGAAAGAAAATTAAAACTCTTCAAACTTCCCTCCAAAATGGGCAAATATATGTCATTTATTTATTTATTTTCCTTTATTTAGTATTTAACAAACTCACCTCAAAGTACTTGATCAGATTGCATGAATGATGGCCCAATGGCCCCACATATATCTCTTCGCCTCCTCGTTTCAGTAGCAATAGCTGCCATAAAGAAAGAGACCACAAAATTACAATAACTAAGCTCAAAGTTTTGGCCAATTATGGAAATAACTCAATAAACTTCGGAATTACAGAAAAAAAAATGACAGTGGCAAAAATGTAACAACATTTTTTTTCACCTCGTCAAAAGCCTCAAAGATGTCGATGCTAGGCTGATGTATGGTGCAAACAACTGTTCTTCCTGTGTCAACTGTATTTCTAACTGTCCTCATCACAATTGCAGCAGCTCGTGCATCGAGACCAGAAGTTGGCTCGTCCATGAATATTATTGATGGGTTTGCAACGAGCTCGACTGCTATCGTGAGCCTTTTTCTCTGCTCGGTCGAGAGACCATCGACCCCTGGTAAACCGACTAGTGCGCCTCTTAAATTAGTGAGCTCGACAAGCTCCATCACTTCCTCAACAAACATCTGCACTTGTTTACGAGGCAATATTTGAATTATATCAGTAACTCTCAATTAAGTTGTACATGTATTTTATTTTCACTACAAAAACACACACTAACCTACCTTTTTCGTTTTAACATCAACATCTGGTGACAACCGAAGCCAAGCTGAAAAAAGCAAAGACTCGTGCACCGTAACATGTGGGGAATGAATGTCATCCTGCTCGCAATATCCCGATATACGTGCAAAAGTTTCTTGCTTTTTTGGGTACCCTGAAATTGTTATGTTCCCATCAATATAGCCGCCCGTTTTTCGACCGGCCAGCACATCCATCAGAGTCGTTTTACCGGCCCCACTAACTCCCATCAAAGCAGTTAAAACACCCGGCCTGAAAGCTCCACTCACACCCTTCAGGAGGACCAGCTTATCCTCAACAAAACCTCTCTCTTTCATTTCCTAAACAATACATTTATCGGAATTTTCATTGTGTCATAAAAATATTTGGTGTCACATTAGTTCCACAATTGGTAAGTGCAAATGTAAAGAAAATTCCAAAACTCAATAACAGTTTTTGTAGGCGTCCTTTACTCTATATATGTGTTAAAACCTTGGAAGTAATTTTTTGTTTTATCCCTAATGTTAAAAAATATTTGGAAAGTACCTGTGGCATGTCAACCGAATAAACAATTTCATCGAATGTGATGGAATGTGGTTCGAATGGAAGAACCATTCCCTTATTCTTCTTTTGATTGGCATTAATTTGCTGGTTTACTTCCGTTTTGTGGTCCTTCTGATTGCTGTCACTATCTTCTTGTACAACAGCCCGGCCATTACCAAAAGCTATGAAAAAAAAAAAGTAAAATACTAAAGCGACTTGAAAATTGAAATGTACAACACGTGGTAACAACGATTATTTATTTATCGAATAAGAAAAAGAGAAACTACAAACTTACGGTTCAGATGAGTGAGAGCTAGCATGAAGCCTAAGTTGGATAGAATTATGAATCCAACCAATGCCCCTACACCTATCCAGTAAAAGTTTGCTTGTGTGAGAAATCCCTTTGTCCTTAGAACTGCATGGCCTAATGTTTCTGTTGTGTTTCCCACAACCTATAAGGACAGAAGCACGGGCAACGGCAGTTAACATTTAAAAAAAAAAAGAAAGAGAGAAAGAGAGAGAGAGAGAGAGAGAGAGAGAGAGAGAGAGAGTTTTAGCATGTGAACTCACATGTTTCCAGGCATTCCCCGTAAATTCATTCTCAACGATTGCATTCTGCGCATACATCATTGGTGACGACCAATAACCCCATATCCACCATTTTCTCACGTCCACTGCAACATCAGCCAAAACACAAACACGGTTAAATAAATCAAATCAATTTGAGTGTAAAAAGGTTTGACCTTTTGACCGCTCCATACCTCGTGACAAAACAACACCACCTAATGAGAAAAATATGAACAATACAAAGGCACCGAATGTGTTTGCAATAACCAAACTCCTACCAACTGCTCCAATAACTCGGAACAATCCACTCGCCATTTGATTTAAAAGAAACAGTATCAAGTATTGTTTGAACAATCTGCATAAAGAGATAATGTGTTATTTAAATTAAAATTATTCCTAAAAGTTGATAAAATGTAAATATATGTGCTGATTACAAAATTCTTTACCTTGCAACACTGGGATCGTATCCTATACCATAATAGGTGATGAAAACCCAAACTCCCACTTCAACAAATGAAATAGGTATCTTTAGCAGCCATGTCGGGATAGAATATACCCACGGTGGGAAAAAAAGGGAGTCCCTTTGTTTATAGAAAATTGGAAGCTTGTAAATAGTCATCGAGACCTCAGACATCCCGTTGAACATTAAGACGGTCGTCGTGTAAAAAAGGGCGCCAACATATATGTAGCCATCTTCTAGATTACGTCGGTGCATGTTGGTCCGGAGAAAGGTTGTCAAAGTAATCAATGCCGTTAGAACAATCTGAAAGGACATAACAGTTTAAATGAAGAAGGTTTGAGAGTTTAAATGGATACAAGGTGGAAATGTAATAACTAAAGTTGATATGCTATAAATCGAGCAAAATAATGATTAAAATGATTGATAATTAAATATACGAGTGTATTCAGAGTAAATTTGACAGGAAAATATGTCGAAAATATTTTTTTTATTATTAATCGTTTATTGATAAGAATGAGAAAGAAAAATGAGAATAATTAAATGAGTATCTTGTCAAAATTGTTGCATAAAAATACAATTTCGGAGAAGAATTTTCTCTAGCGAAATAAAAATGAAAATTTACTGGTAGCCGATCGTAGCCTCACTTTTCGGGATTATAAATAAAGCTACTCTTTAGGTTCCGGATAGACTAAATAACTTTGAAATCATATTAAGCATCCCATGAGGTTTGAATAGCCATACTTTTTTTCCCAACCGTTGCTGGTGTGACAAAACTTACTCATCTCATGTGAAATTTAATGATCACACCCTAAAATTTTTAATATTCAAATAACACCATATAACTTACACTCGACTTGTTCTAGTATTTAGAATGATTTGAGTGGTATAAATGTAGAAAGCAGGATATTTAAAAAAAAAATGGGTTGTATTTTTATAAATATTTGGTGACGCAAATGATTCCACTGCTATTGCAAAATGTAAAAGAATTGTTGAGGCTTGTGATCCAAACTTCAAAGATACTTTTTTTATTATTCCTTAGTGTTTCATAAGATCCTTACAAAATATCATGGATGACGAAAAAGAAAAGACAAGAGGACAAAGGACATGTTTACCGACCACCAAAATCTTGAACACGTACACGAATGAGTTTCTTTTCATCAACAAGACTTCTCTCGAGTAGCAAGCTTTCATTAACTCTTTAATTCCAGTGCCATATTTCATGGTTGTTAAAGCAGCTTGGTGGCTTTTCGACTTGTCGAATGGAGATGCAAGTTCGCCCCTCATACTTTTACCGACATGAAATGATTGAAATGCCTCCACAAACTCACTCACTGTCACGAATCTATATGGCTCATGGGCACGAGTCCAATATTGTTCTTGATCTTTCTGTGATGTCACCTGCCAAAAACATTTTCCATGAATAAGTTATGGAAGTGCTGAACTCTATTTTCCAGAAAAACACACACACACACACACACACACACACACATAATCATATGAAATGATTTTTTAAACTTCATGAGTGTAATTTGATAAGTTTTGACTTTTGAGAGTTATTCCTCACTTAAAAATGGGATATTCACAGAATGGTGAATGTTTTAAGGTATAATTTGATATAATATGAAATGTAATTACCAAAATTGAAGTCACAAGGTTGAATAATAAAGATCAATAATAGTTTGATAGTTAGGAAAATGTATGGTAATGCTCTTTTTGGAGAAGGGTGCAGAAGATAAGAGACAGAAAGTGAGGAAAAAAAATAATGCATTTTCTGATGTATTATATTCGACACAACTTTGGTTGGAAAAGTACAATGATATCTCATTGCAGCAAAAAGCATCATTCCCTTACATTTTGGATCTATCAAAGACGCACAGAAATCAGGATTCGGAAAACTCTGAGCAAAACTACCTCTTGTAAGAAGTCAGCCACTCCTTTCCTCTCGGGACACTTAAATCCCACGGAATCGAAAAACTCAAGCACGTTATCTCGTGGGCCTTGATAGACAATTTGGCCGTCAGACAACAGGATGATGTCATCAAATAGTTCATAAGTCTCAGGCGCGGGCTGCAAGAGTGATATAAGAGCAGTCCCGTTGAGGATGTGGACATATTGCCTTAGTGAACTCACGATTTGGTATGTCGTGGAGCTGTCCAGTCCTGTTGATATCTCATCCATGAAAAGAGCATTTGTGGGTCCCACCAGCATCTCACCTGTGATTTTTGCATTTTCCAATCTCAATACTAATTTTGTACATTAAGTAAAAATTCGAGGTTTAACGTCCCCTTGAAATTTTATCATTTTCAAGTGAAAATTAACTCCAAAATCCTCTATATATTATACAGCCCACTCCGAATCAAACATCAAGTCCTTTTTTTAAGAAAAAAAAAAAAAAGGAGAAAGAAAGAAACTTTATCATATTTTTCAGTATTTGTGAATACTCCAACTTCAAGGTAGTTATAAATTCTGACATTTTTTTTATTAAAAAATGCAGTTATCCTACCGGTGGTAACACGTTTTCTCTGGCCCCCTGATATTCCTCTAACTAGTTCATCACCAACCATAGTATCTGCACAAACCTCGAGACCTAAAACCTGAAATAAAGGAAAAGACAAATTTACTTTCTTTTTTTTTTTTGGTGTAACAGCATATACATTTTCAGATAATCAGAAGCTAAGAGAATATTATACCTTTATAATGTAATCCGTTATCACACTGGCTTCTTGTCCTTCTGTAGCAACAGCCTACATTTGCAACCATTTATGATTACAACACATAACTAACCAAATAAAAGGATATCATCTATAATCAACTTGATTAAAATTGTAAGCTAGATTAAAGTTTCCTTTGAATTCGTTATATTTACTATTCATCTTTTACCTTCATGAAGATATCGACATCCGTATCAGGCTTAATACTCGCGTTCTTTTCTCTTCTTGATAATTCCGACAACATCTCTGCAAAACGTAACCACAATATTTTCTCTTTGAGCATATACACGATGGATTAAACCATTTTAAAAAAATAAAGTAAAATAAAATCACATTTTGTTTATTTACTGACCATATCGAGATCCAATTCCCTGGCATCTTGCCGAGAATTCAAGAGTTTCTCTCACAGTCATTTCTCCAATATGAACATCGTGTTGGCTAATGTATGCAGCTGTTCTTTGGGGAACAAACTCATTCAGTTTGTGCCCATTGTAAGACACACTTCCAGAAAACTGGTGGGATGTGAATATTGAAACAGTATTATGTTAAAACATTTGTCTGCCAAAAACGAGAGTTTTATTGAGAGCGTAAATTATAGTTATTCAAACCTTCAAAGAGGTATCCAACTTTCCTGCCAAAGCCAACAACAGTGTCGTCTTTCCTGAGCTTGGAGGACCTAGCAGCAGTGTCATTCTTCACAAAATGCCCATGCAAATCTGAATTAGTAAATTTATCGAGGAATTTTCTGCTGGAAACGAGAAAGAGAAAAGTATTCTCCAAAAAGGCAGTGTTTGCTTCAGATTAATTGGAAGCTAAAGACCAGGGAAAGGATGTTTTAAACGAATGTTGCAATGCCAACCTGCAAGGCTTGATAATTCCACTGACATCTTGCAGAATAGAAATATGTTTCTTCTTGCTTGGAAGTAAATGAAGATAGTTCAGAAATCCCTGGAGGAAGGGTACCCAAAAAAAAAAATAACAATAAAAGTAAAATATAATAGATGCAATCAGTTTCTTCGAGCAAACTTGCTAACATTTGTACCTGAAATATATTAATAGTGAAGTTAAAAAATGTAGGCAATGATCTGCTTCCCACGTAAGCCTCAGCACCAATATTTAGATGCTCAAATCGGACTTCTATTGTTGGCAGCTGAATGCCAACCCTGGAAAACCACACACAATAAAACACATGGGAAAATCATTCTAGTAAAACAAATAAATTATTTATGAGCACGTAAACAAATAAAAAGAGAAAATGAGAGGGAATGAGGTTTAACTTAAACAAAAATTTGGGGGAAAAAAAACAATGATCATTCGAAAATTACAAGTATCTCATTCTTCTTTAAATAAATAAAAAAAAAAGGTCACCTGTCAATCCTATCTCTAAGCTTCTTCAACAACTTCTCGATATCCTCATCGGCACTTTTTAGCAACCTATCGAGCAAGTCTTTACGTTCTTGAAGTCCTAGATTCCTTATATTGACTTCACTAGTTTCACCCCTCGATCCCACTAAAATACCTCTAGTCAGACGATCGTAAGTGGGAAGCTTCTCGATTGCAGCCCACCTTAAGGCTTCCTCGTCATCATTTCCATTTCGAGATGAGCTGGAAAAGGCTTCTAACCCACCATTCCACCAGTATTTGGAACCATTTCGTCTCATGCTGGAACTTATTCTGTAAAGATCCCCTTGATCCATTTTCAATCGAAATGGCGAAAAAAAGGGGAAAAAACAAAACAAAAAAAAATATGGAAAAGCAAAATACTATTCCAGTGTCATGTAAAAAATGTTAGGACAAAACACCTTTAATGCATTTCATATTCAAATGAATGTAAATTTTTTTGAACGATATTGACTTGTTTCCTTTCAATAGCAATGATATTTTTAAGTTATCAGTGAAGGACAATCGTCTTATTTATCTGTCACATGCAGTTGACCCTTTTTTGGAGGGTAAATATATTGAAAGGAAGTCAAGTTTGTTCTATTCATTTACAGAAGGAAACTAAAAAATAAAAATAAAAAATGAACACGATGCACAAAAGTGTAGGATTCGTAGGCTATAGGGTGGTTAAGTATTAATTACCCCAATGCTCAGGAAGGTTCTTTCGTTTTTCAGGGTTTTTTCAGTTTGATAATATGATTTCTCCATTTTCTTTCAGTAAAAAATATGCATGTAACAATTATTAGTAGTAATGAGAATATATATATAATATCCTTTTTTCTACTCTGCATGCAATGCATGGGAGTGTAATGGAATATATATTTATACAGAATAAGACGGTTGGCTAACAAAGAAGTGCAAATAAAAGAACAAAAGGAAACAACAAAAAATGAACTGTAGTAACCACACCAGAAAACGAATATCAGTAGAGGTGTTCTAAAGCCACAGGGAATTTGGGTACGGAAGAAAATTTCTAAATTAATAATTGTAGATAGAACATATGTCAGCTTTTTTAAGAATTTTTTTTATGCCTACACTCAGTTTGCCAACAAAGTGTCAAGGAGTTGAGGATTACAAATAAAATGGACAGATAATAAATGAATAACATAGATGGCGATTATTCTGATTTCTGACTAATGGAAATAAAGTACAGAACATAGCATTATAGGAGAGTAGGACTGCTGAAACAATTAATACAGATAAGTTTCAATTAAACAGCTCTCAACTCATAAATATTACAGCATGTATTGTAGGCCACCTAATAAGTTAGGCATCTTTAAATTCAACAACATTTTCCTATATCATGCTGCTTATGGCTAGAGTGTATTTAATGTCAGGAAATTGAAGATAATCCACATGAAGGAAATATAAGGAAAGGTCAAAGGAACAGGCAAACATCGGTCGAAGGCGAGAAGTTTCATGAAAATATTTGACCTGCAAAATCCGAAGCACCGTACATATCAAAATTTATAAACAGAGAAAGAATATAGTTAAACAGCTCGATTTCAAGATCAATGGATTTAGTACCTGTGAACTGGATAACTTGTTTGGCTGAAACTTGTCACACTTGTATATTTGTTGATTTTTCATTATGAATGATCTTTTTTAAAAGTTCTATTTGATTTGACAAAACTCTGAACTAGTACTAGAAACTTACCAGAGTTCCCATTAAAAAAAGATATAGCAGGATAAAACGGTAAATATAACGTCCTGGCTGGTAACAGATAAAGGATGTGTTTGCCAACTCTACAGATCACAAAAAGGTGGATCCTCATCTAGCCGATGAAAATTACAATTTTCCTCTAGCTAAATCATTTCTCGTTTCCTTTTTAGAGTTTTGGGACATTTGTAAATCAGATAACCTATTAAAACAGTATTTTCTAAGTTTGCACAAAAGAAATATGTACCAACTAGGACCTCACTTGAAGTTTCCAAGTAGAAGGTTAATTCAGTTCCAACTGTTCTCTTTTCATCTCGTCCCATAACTGGAAAAGTTCATCCACAATCCAAAGTGATTAATATGTTATTAAATATAACTATTAATCTCTTTAGTAAGTCCAATTATCCTTCAACTCTGAAAAATCACCATGATTGTATGGCAACAGACATCTCATATTATAAATGTAAAGTCAACACTATCAAACATCATTACAATTCATTCTACTTCAGTTATTGTTTCGCTTGAAAAGGAATATTTAAAACCGAATACTAATCTTCGCAGCAAATGCAATCACCTTTTTGCAAAAGCGTGAAAGATTAGGAGAAGAACAATCTTGCTTTAAGGAATTATTTAATGACCTATATATATCTTCCATCATTTATCCTACTAGTACAGGACAGTTAAAATCTCAGTACTATATCCAAAAGTATGTTTTTTGCAGAGATCTTAATGGAATTGCAAAACCATTATAGAGAAGAGCCACAAGTACACATCAAGTTTCATCTCGACAAAAAAAATGACAAGAACAATTATCAATACACTGTTAGCTACATCAACTAGCACTAAATTTTTTAAAAGAAAAAGTATTCACCCTGTCACAGGAGTAGTAAGACCTTAACCTCAACTATTCCATGTCAGGATCTTTCTCGATCGCTGATTTTGTGCTGCCAACACCACAGGACAGCTCAGTTTCAAACGGCACAACAGATGGCAATCTCTCATACACTTTCGATCCCATAGGCAAAAACTTTCCTCGGACCAGAACAAGCATCTGCCCGAGTCTCTCATAGCCCCACCTCTGCTGAACATAAACGGCAATCGCCAGCAAAACAGCAGTCAACAGTATAGCAACATCCCCAATTTTCGAGTAAAAATCCAATTGAGGGTTCACGAACTCGTACTCTTCGGATAAATAAGGATTCTGTACAGGCGCACTTATATAATCATACAAATGAGGAAAAAGCCGAACTGAGGTCAGCCCAGAAAAATACACCATTCCAAGAGGCTTATCCTGTATTCTCCACATAAAATTCGCAATCACCTGAGGAAGTAGAAAGAAATCCTGGACGAGCCCAAAATACTCCCCCAACACGGTCTCCCATTCACGTATAGCACGAGAATAACCACTCCAGTCGACAAAATACACCGTTTGTAGAGGTTTATAGCTCGTATTTACATAATGCACGACAAGAACAAGTACGTATCCAAGAACGAGTATAATCAATGTGCTTAAAAGTACTTTTTTTTCACTCGGGACTCGATGAGGCTCGAGTGGAGACTGCATTAGTAGCTTGATGCGGGCTTTCCACACTTTCTGGCTAAGCGTCAGGGTTAAAGCAAACCCAATCAGAACCAAAACCTTCACGGCATAATCAATCATGTGAATCCATTGACTGTTCTTTAACTCATGTGACTCATTTTCGCTAAAGTCAGCCAATCTCTTTCGCAGAAGAGCTCCCGCACCTGTGACAAGCGGGAGGCCGTACCCGACCGCTTGTACTCCAAGCATCACAAACGATACATAAGGGACAGACTCCGCTTTTTCTCGCACATAAATCAGCTGGCTTAAGATGCAAGCAATTGCAACAGAGAGTGTCGAAATACGAAGTACCCCCTCAACACCTCTGCGTGAGAGAATGTCTTCCCTTTGCTTTCTGTACAAAATGGGGACTGTCTGGAGATTAATCGGGTCAAAATAAAGTGGGTCATCCTCATTCCTCTGGCTACCAATTGAGATTCGAGCTGTGGGGTCCACTAACCACCGAGCTGTGACTGGCGGATACGAGATCACCACCTGGACTAAGCAGTCGAGTCCGGCTTCAAGATCCATGCTCTCGTATAGCGTCCTCCAGCCGGCCCGAATGTCACGGCAGCCTACAAGGTACATCTTTCCAACATGCGGGTCGTAAATTCCCTCCAAGAATAAAGACGAGAAATTGCTTTTATAATGCTGTCCGGCAAGACTAAGCTGACCGGACACATTGACCAGGAGTTGTTTCTCCGTGGCGTATGGGGATTCTGCCCGAAAGTTTGAAACATTCTTTGCGGGCCAGTATGGCCCAAACAACGGCCCAATCGACAGGATCTCCAGTTCGAAGTCATTTTTTGATAGAAAAGTGCTCGGAATTGGATCGGGCAAGGCAGGAACGTGAAGGGTGAGATCCTCAGATAGAAGAGAAAGACTGTACGGAAAATTTTCCATTTCCTCTATTTTAGGGAATTTCAAGGCCGATTTCCAAACAACGGTCCCGAAGTTAAAAGGCTCGTCTTTCTCAAGAACAAATCCGGCATCACGGATTTTAGTGTATTTGTAATACGGACGGGAAGCAGTGTACTGGTCCCACAGCTCAGCTGGACGAACGATTTTTTCAAATGTTAGAGGGAAAAAAGACAAATTTTTGGCAGAACTTATACTTGAAAATGTTCCAAAAAGTATGCTACGCTGTTTTATCGAGAAAGAAAGAGGAATATACATGCAAATGCGTGTATCACAATCAAATCTAGAGCAACCAATCATGCAGAGCTGCCCATTTGATGGTTTCCAAATCCCCTCAGCAGAAATAGTCATGTCTCTGAGCCCCGTCCTATGGGCCGCTGTGAATATGTTCTGTGAAGGAGGAACTGCACGAAATACCGAAAAGACCCTCATCGGGCCAACACTTCCGTTTTGAGAGCCATCACTACCGTCTTGAGTAATATTTTCACAACGAATGTCCTGAAGAATGAGCTTGACATTTTTGAAGCTCCCATCGGTGGCATTAATCTCCTTATTCGATACAAAAGGTCCCAACTTACGGCAAAACAAATCTGTGCCATTGCATTTCCAGTTCGGAAGAATTGTAAGAGCTTCCTGACGAGTGAACCTCTCAAGTATGACGCAAAAGTCGAGCCCTCTGTAAATATCAATTTCGCCATTGTTCAGATCATCTTTGAATGGATACGGATCGCAGGCTTTCGAAACCAGATGTCCAGAAGTGAAGTGATAATTCACAGACGGGCTCAACCAAGACGACAGATGGACTTCGACGAAGTACTTTGAGTTTGATTTCGAGTTCAAACTTTTCATGCTCCCCATGATTTCTCTGCTCGTCAAGGTCATTGTTTTCGGAAAATGGAGCACAAGCATAATCTGATCGTCTTCGGTCAGAAGGGGCTGATCAGTGTAACCGAACTCCTTAACCCAAGGCCACGGGTTATCCTTTTTGGGCCCACGGGTGGGCAAAACCGTACTCCCCAACAAACACATTACTCTCTCACCGTGGCTTTTCTCCGTATAGATTCCTTGAAAATTAATCGAAAGCTGAGAGTGACCCGGCCATATATCGAATCTTGGGCTTTTTTCGTAGGGTTCTTCTGAAAGCAAGCCCTCGAGGGATATCCCTAGCTGCAAAAGCCCGCTAACAGAAACGGAATTCTTGGAATGATAGTGGCGATTAACACCAGTAACCCAGAATGAAACAAGGTGCGAAGGGGATCGAAGGTCCTCCGTGCTTTCTCTATCATCAAACGGCATTAATGGAGCAATTTCCGCACTCGAGTCTTGCCACCAATCTCCATTCAAGAAAGAAAGTTCCTCTTTAATGGCGACAAGTCTACTGTCATCAGGTTTCAGTTGAGAAGCAGATTTCAACACAAAGGCGCATTCTTTATTTACTTCAGTAATCCTGTCAAACTTGTACCTATTTTCAGAAAGCTTACTCCCAGTGGCTTCGTCGTACGAGTACGCGAAATCAATGCACAACACAATCGATAAGCCAAACAGAGCCCAGGATGCAGCAATTGAAGGCATACTTGTTCGCGCTCAGTTGATTAACATCAGAATTTAGGGGAAATTTGATCTTTTGTCGGATTTGTTGCTGCACACGAGATAATACTGTAGGATTGAGGAAAATTGGAGAGTTTTACCTTGTGATCGTCAAATGCAGGGTTTGGTGAACTTGATCGGCTGCTGGATAGCTCAACTCGAAGCTGTGAGTGAAGGGGCATGAGGATTTTTCTTCTTTGTGAAGAAATGTTTTGGGGATCAAAGGTATGAAAGTTTGGAGTTGAAGTCAAGAAATACAGTGATGGCTGATGAAGTATAAGGATAAAGATGGTGACTAGTCAACCTTTTTTCATTTTGAATTTTCTTTTGCTCATTTTCAAAGCAAGATTTTTTATGTATTATTTATTTTAGCTATTTTTTCTTTGTGTTGTGCGGAAGGCCAAAATATAAGTGATCTATATTTATATTTATATTTTTCTTCTTGTGTTTTTCCTTAATATCGATGTTCGTATTCTAGCGCGCTTTTATCCTTGGCCGATTCTTCTTTCATAGATTGATATTTTGTCGATTTGTGTTTTGGAACATTTTTTCCATAGACCAGGCTCTATTCTTGTTGATATGGCGATTACTAATAATAACGGGGGCAATTTGTGGTCTCAACTTAAGTTGATGGTTGATCTCGACCCGATGTTTGAAGTTACTCGTAGGGAGTGACTGGCCTAGCCCTCATATCTCTATCAATAACCCAACTTGGCGATCTGGACTTTGAACGATCATGATGAAGAACAAGGGAGTAGTCGCCTAGTTAAACAGGTTGATCGTTGGTTGGGTTGCAGGTTTCAAGACCTACGAACAAGACCTGCGAATAATTTATATGGGATATTCTTCTCAGATTCATCCTCAAGCCCCAGACTATTTTGAAATCGTTATTACTCTATCACCGATGTCTCCCACCTCTCGACGTTTTTGTCGAGAGTGAGCAAATCAATATACATTCTTATCTAATGTTGGCTAATATACGGATTAACAAAATATCTTGAATCTGATTTTTTTGAGGTGGGAAGAGGCAAAGATATGCTATTTGGAAATAACGTGGTGAAGGATTTTATTTGGGCAGAGTAACGAGATGAAATGAATTGTGTGGAGGGTTGGTCGTGCCACTCTTTTTAATGAGACTTTTGGGTAAGATGCACCATTAAGGAAGGCAGTAGGTGTTGTTTTGGCATGAAAAAAAGTTCGCATAGGGCATGATTATTTATAGAGAGAGTTTCGAAGGTAACCCTTGACGACCTCACTCCTTCTAGCACCATATAGTTGACTTTCAAGCGTCAACCACAATTAATAGGGCCATTTTTTAGGGGTTGCAAGCAACTAAAAGCAGTGTTCTAAAAGTCCAAATATTAAATACCTTATTTTTTTATTTATTTTAACTACCTACAAAGTAAAATTCTCAATTTATAGTAAATCGACACACCTAAGTTCAAATAATAAAATTAATATATTTTAAAGAAAAAATAAGAACAAAATAATGTAATTAGAGCATCTCCAACGTGCTCTGTAAACCTGCAGGAAACGGCACAGATGGAGGAAAAGCATCTCCAACGGGCTCTGTATATTTGAAGGAAACGCCACTCTAAAATTTGTGGAACGGTTTGGCAACCGTTCCACTGTTCACCCGCTTGGCTCTTTATTTTTATTTTTTTTTTGTTAAATATNNNNTGGAATTGAGTTTTATTTTATGTCACGACTTCGGGTGTCCCGTCGGCCCTCGATAAGCGAGCCGAGCATTAGCGAAAATACTTTCGAGAAAACACGAGAAGAGGAGAAGACGTTTGTGGCGTCGATTTATTATTTCGAGGACCCGATCATTTATTTTGAGTAGCCCGAATTCGAGGGTGCATATGAGTAAAATAAATGAAAAAGCCGTTTACGGTGGTCCCGCAAGGTCGTGTGACTTCGGTTTACCGAGAATCGAGTTGGGACGTCTAGATGATTCAGACACTATGTCATGCGGGACATTTGTCGAGTATTTCGGAGCTCCGAACATTTAATTAGAGAAGCTCGAATTCCCGAGTGAATAGTAGTAAAATGAGCTAAAATGAGCTAAAATATATGCCTTAAACCATATATGGTCTAGACCATATATGCCCTAAATCATGTTCCAAAATGTGAATAATGATCACATGGCCTTATATGCCCTAAACCATATATGGTCTAGACCATATATGCCCTAAATCCAATGGTTAGAATCCAATTTAAATTTTAACAAGCATAATGTAATTTGTAGAGATTATTTAATAAACTAATAAAATTAGAAAAGAATATGCTTGGAATATTCTTTTAGAGAGGAATTATAGAGGGAATGGACTGGAGTTGCTGACACTGTTGAAACTATAAAACTAGTGGGATTTTACTGTAGAAACTGTATGGATAGAGAATATGGTTGGAGATGCTCTTAGTATTTAAAAAAATTAAAAAAGAAACTGAAAAATTACCGCCGAGCCAGCCTAGGAGTGCCTAGGTCCGCCTAACCGCCTAGCCGCCAAGTCCGCCTAGGAGCGCCTAGAGCAGCTTAGGCGCCGCTAGCCGCCTGGCCGATTTTTTATGCCGATTTGTGCAAATAGAAGGCGCCCGGGAACCGCCTAGCGCCTAGGCCGATTTTTAGAACAATATTTAAAAGTAATGAAATGACTGTTTAATCGGGATAGATGTAATTTTTTTTGTGTATAAAAGCTTGCAGTATAACAATATAGTTTCAACTCGTCTATTACATTAGGTAGCAAAATAAAAATTTTACGAACGTCACTAGTGGATCTGATAATTCTACTTCGTTCATTAGTGGCCATATGATCTACATTTTGAGTGGCTGATATGAAATGTAAGCCGGCATATATAGAGTCTAAACCGTCTGAGTTTTAGATTTAAGATTTTTTTGTGTATAAAAGCTTGCAGTATAACAATATAGTTTCAACTCGTCTATTACATTAGGTAGCAAAATAAAAATTTTACGAACGTCACTAGTGGATCTGATAATTCTACTTCGTTCATTAGTGGCCATATGATCTACATTTTGAGTGGCTGATATGAAATGTAAGCCGACATATATAGAGTCTAAACCGTCTGAGTTTTAGATTTAAGACAACAATTATGTCAAGAATTGAGTTGCATTGATGAGGTGACTCAAGTGAACATGATTGAATTTTGATTGAACTTTAGTCATATGTAACTTCCAAAGACTAGTTACAATAATTGGTGGTTTTATAGTGTGATAGGGATATTAGTACCATATTCGGCCCAACACGACTCGGCCCAACACGACTCGGCCTAACGCGGCTCGTCCGACCTCAACCCTCTCAACCCCTACGACCCTTAGACCCTTCGACCATCGACCCACTCGACCCTCAACCTCTCCAAGCCGCTATCCTCCGACCATCGACCCGCCCAAGGACTCGACCCATTGACCCAACGATTAATACACGCAAGAGTGCTCGGTGTAAGCCCAACTTAGCCTGCGGAAGGATCGAACCATGAACCCACGGTCGACCCATGGGGTATCGACCCGCAAGATGGCGACCTATAAAGTGTCGACCCACGAGAGATCGACCCGGAAGAAAGGGTCGAACACCAACTCGGTTCGGCCCTTAGTATTGCCGATTACTACGCAGTGTGTACAACTAAATACTATATATATGATAAATGCTAGAGTAGAAAAGCAAGACTTCATTAATATCATTACTACAACATTTATTACACACAATTCTCTCTCTAAATCCGAGATCCTAACTTGGGCGTCGGAGGATTTGCGCCGGAGAAATTCCAGCGCGCTTTCAGGTACCGGAGAACACGCAAGCTTGGGCCGGACCGAATCAAGCGAATCACTCCATAACCGGGAAGAACCTTCCGTAAGACTGGAGCCACCGATCTCGGACCATATAAAATTGGCGTCGTCTGTGGGGACCCTAGCTCAACCGACGTTGATCTGGTGGTATCTCATACATCACAACCGGAAAACAAGTGGAGAAGCAAGGATTGAAGAAGATGGTGGGAGAAAGAGAGCATGAACAACATGAAGAAGACAACTCTTGGTTGCACAAGCGCCCTGTAGGAGCTGGACCGCCGTCGGGGTGGATATTGGGTGGAGACACGCCGGCGACCCCAGCCCCTGCTGCTAGGCGGCTGCCGGAGCAGTTAGAGATAGCGGCGAATAGCCCGACACATGTGGGCGTGATGCAAACGCCGACGAGACCGAGTGCGAGCTTACCACTCCAAAAAGTAGGCGGAGAGGAGCTGCAACTCCAAGGAGGGGCGGCGGAGGAAGCCGTCGCGAATACTCAGCTTCCCATCCCGGAGCAGCCCATACAAGTCACGCCCAGCGCATTGGAAAGAAAGATAGCGGCGGCGGTGGAGGCTAGACTGGCGTCGGTTTCACCTCCGGGAAGGTTGATGACGACAAGACCAGAAGCACAGGGCTTAGAGGCTCGACCCTCTACCCTGGCGCGCGAAATGGTGACTCGACTCGAAGTGTTGGGGCGCGAGGAAGTAGATCGACCTGTGAGGCCAACCGGAGGTGGGGGCGAGCATGAGCCGGAACAATCGGTCCACTCGTCAGGAGCTCCACTACAACATGCAAGGGACTCGATCATCGAGCGCATGGCGGAGCAGTTGCGCGAACTCCAAGAAAAGGTCGAAGGACGTCGAGGCCCCTGCCGTGCAGGTCACCCGTTCGCGGACGAAGTGTTGGGCGCGGATTTGCCTCTAGGGTTTCGGGATCTCACCATGTCATATGATGGCTCTACAGACCCACCTCGACATCTCAGGAGCTTCGAGAACATAGCGGTGCTACATTGGTATAGTGATCCGGTATGTTGCAGGGCCTTTCTCACCACGCTGAAGGGTGCGGCCCAAGATTGGTTCCACCAACTGGCGCCCGGGGTTGTCAAAGATTTTCGAAGCTTTAGTTCGTTGTTCACCAACCAGTTCGCAAGCGCGAGGAAGCATGAGAAAACATACTTATCCCTGATAAA